AGAGGTCAAGTGCTGTTTTCATTGCATCACATCAAGTATATGTACATCCTTTGAACATGACTTATGACCATTGATATTGGACTTTGATCATCCGGCTGAGGTGGTATTTGTTGAGGTTTTCTGTAGTAAAGTTACTCTCTTCCCCTTCACTCTTTCCCTACTATGCACTTTGGAAGGAAGCTGTTTTTTTTGTTTTTTGTTTTTTTTGTTTTTTCCCTTTTTGTCTTTTTTACTGACCGGTAACGGGATCGCAACCCTCGGTGTCGCACCCGTACCAGGGACCAGCAACGGGATCGCAACCCTCGGTGTTGCGCCTGCACCGCGCTCAGCCAGTGAGTGGGAACCGGTCTCCACATGGGATCCGAACCCTCGGCGGGAGCGCGGCCACACTCCCAAGTGGCGCACTCTCCAGTGCGCCACCGGGCCGGCCCTCAAATGTTTTTAATAGTATGTTCAAAACAGGATCAAAACGAGATCCTGTATTTGCACTTAGTGACATATTTTAAAAAGACATTTCTCTTTTTATTCTGTACTTTTCTTGTGATTTATTTGTTGAACTAACTGCGGTTTTTCTCACAGTTTTGTAGATTGCATCCCCTTTGGCTAGAATACTTCATGGGTGGTGGTGTCCTTCTCCATTGCAGCACATCAAAAGATTCATAATATGTAGTTGTTTCACTTTGGGGGATATTAAGTTTGATCTAGTAGGTTCAAGTGTTGTCAGCCTTGCCCATCCATTATAAAGTTTCCCATCAGCTTTTCATCAAATGGTTCTAGAATCACCTAGATCCACTATTTCATTAGGGTTTACAAAATGATGATAGTCTATCTTTCCTTCTGCATTTATTACATGAAATTATATAGAGAAGAACTTCCTCACATCAACTATCTTGTTGAGATTCAGTTTGCAACAGGAAAGAGAGGTTGATATTTGTTACTTCATCAGTTTTAAGACTGTGATGATTCTTGGCATCTTCCCAAGAATGGCCAATGACATTTTAAAAAATCAACGCACTTACTGATTTTTAACATAATTGACATGTCTCAATCAATTGCTGTTGTTATTTTTAAATGCTAAAATTGTCCAATGTTTAACTAGTTGGAGTAACTTTGAATTGGCTCCTCAGTCTTTAGGGCACAACTCCTATTACCTTTGCTTTACTTTCTTCCTTGCTTTCTGATACAACCAAAACGTCTTAGGCTGTCTTGTACATTTCTCGCCCCAGACTTGAAAGCAGACCTTGATCTCCAAGAGGAGCCCAAGCAACTTTCGGTGGGAAATATTTAGAAATCATAGTATGGAGAATAAGGGTGTGCACTGAGTTGGTCATTGTTCTAGGCCTCTGTAGTGGACAAACTTTTTTTTTAATAAGAAAAAGCACTATGAGTTCTTTCTGATATTTCTAAATTCAAATACAGGATTGCAGAGTTTCTACTTAATTTTTTTAATTTTTTTTTTTTTTTTTTTTTTTTTTTTTTTTTTTTTTTTTTTTTTTCTTTTTTGGGCACGGAAAAAAAAAAAAAAAAAAAAAAAAAAAAAAAAAAAAAAAAAAAAAAA